CCCCAACTCCCCCCCACCCACCCCCCTCACCTGCCACAGCCCCTGTCACAGTCCCTCATTAACCCCTGTCACCCCACCACCTCTTGTCACCCCAAGGTGGGACCTTGGATGGAGGAAAGGCTTCGTATGCCTCTGGAGGGACTTCACAGAACCACAGGCTGGCTGAGATTGGAGACACCTCTGGAAGGTCATCTGGTCCAACCCCCTCCTCCAGCAGGACCACCCAGAGCTGCCTGCCCACAGCTGTGTCCAGATGATTTCTGAATATCTCCGTGGATGGAGGCTCCACAGCCTCTCAGGGCAACCTGAGCCAGTGCCTGGTCACTCTCGCAGTCCAAATGTCTCCTGATGTTCATAGAGAACCTCCTGTGTGTCAGTTTGTGCCCATGGCCTTTAGTGGCACTGGGAACCACTGAGAAGAGCCTGGCTCCATCTTCTTTGTACCCTCCCTCTGGTCCCTCAGTCCCTTTAACTCCTGGCAATATGTTGTCTAATGCCCAGGGCACCTTTAGTCTTCTTTGCAGCTGTTGTTCAGTTTGGTGTCCACCCTTGGTCTTTTTCAGTCATGCTGCTTCCCAGCTGAGTGGCCCCCAGTGTATATTGGTGCCTGGGGTTGTTCCTCCCCAGGGACAGGACTTTGCACCTCTCCTTGTTTAGAAGAACTTCAGGAGGCTCCTGTCAGCTGATCTCTCCAGCCTGTCCAGGTCCCTCTGGATGGCAGCATGGTCCTCCAGAGTACCAGCCACTCCTCCCACTTTGGTGTCAGCGGCCAACCTGCTGACGGTGCACCCTGCCCCATCATCCAGATCATTAATGAAGATGATTGGACTGACAATGCTTTACCTAATGCAGAGCCCAGGAGACCATTCACCACCTTTGCAGCAAGGGCACCTTGCTGGCTCCCGTTCAGCTTGCTGTTCACCGGGACCCCCAGGTCCTTTTCAGAAAAGCTGCTTCCCAACAGGACTGGACCCAGTATTGACCACTGAGGTATGTCACTAGTGATTGGCCTCCAACTAGACTTGGTGCCACTAATCACCACCCTCTGGGTCAGTTTTCAACCCACCTCACACCCTCGTCTCCCAATGCCTGATGTGACCCAGGGGCGCTGCCAACTCCAGCCCTTCCCTAAGCCCATGCCAGCTGGGTGCAGCCAGGTCTCAGCACCAGCCACCAGCCCATGAGGTGACAGAGCAGAACTCGGGACATGGGTTGCTTGGTCTTCCTCTGGTGCTGCTCCTGGCTGGCCTCCAAACATCAGCTTAGGTTTGGCTGGAAATTAAACTTGGCTCCAGGCTGTTTCATGCTGGCTGCTGAGGAGCCTTTCCAGACATCAGGTCACAGAGCCACCACTGTCCTTATTTTTCTGTAGGCACTTTCAAATCAAAACCAAGGTGACGTTGGAGCCTTCAAACTGTGTGTAGATTTTGCACTTCTTGGTATTGCTATTAATGGGAAAAGCAGCAGTTGATAGACAGAGGAGATGAGCCTTAGGCTGCTTGCCCTGATGGAAGTACATAGAGAAATTATTATCCTTTTCTTGGGGTGCTATCAAAGGAAAAGGATCCACAGGGTCCTTGTTTCACAGGGCTGAAGCTGATGTGAGGGCTGAGCTTTGAGTCTTTGAGGATACCTAAGGAAAGTATCCCTGGAAAGATAAGCATGAAGAGTCAACCATGCACTGCAAAAACCAGTGAGCCTTCCAGGTGCCTGAGACTGAATGATAAGAAAACCCAGCAAGACTTTATCATTTCATACTTTGGGTCCTGATCAAATGCAGTCCAGGCAAGACTTTCGCAGGCTCTTTGGAAAACGAGAAGGATGTGTGCAAAATGCTTGCCCTCCCAGGGCACTCAGCACTGGAGAGACAGCGCAAGCTCGACACCCACTCCTGCCAAACCTGCCTTAGCAAAGCAAGACAAAAATCAGCTGTCCTTGGGGAAGTTTGCCGTGTCCAGAGTCCAGCTTACTGACCTCTTCCTGCCAGGACTGCAGAGTGAAATGAACATCACCTCCTAGGACCCAGAGAAGCCACAGAAATGCAAAAGCAAAGCAGTCAGCCATTGCATAAACTAGAATTGATGACAGTGTATGCAATTCATTGAGTTACAGGTTTAAAGCAGCGCCGTGATACTGGCATGTGCATATGGCTTTTTCACAGAGTGAGATTGCTGGAGCTGCAGTGCTGCACAGCTGAGACGTTCCTCTCTCCCAGTAAATTCTGCGTGGGACCAGGGTAAAACCCTGCATTGAAAGAGAGACTTGCATTCCACAGGGTGCTGCTCAAACATCGAGTTGGCTAAAATTTTTCTGCAGCATCATTTTCCCGGTAGAATACATTGGGTTGTCAGCAGTTTCATCACTGGTGACATCTTCCCTGGCACTTTCCAGTGGGACACAGGCAGGCTACCAAACCAGCATGCCAGCCTGATCTCTGCCAGCTCCTCCAGCTGCCATCCCAGTCGCCCAGCTGTGGCAACCTGCTGGTTTCTGATTCTGCCCAACACTTCCTGCAACAAAAAGCACTGTCTGCAGTTTCAGTGCAGTTTGCCAGGCTTTACCTACTTTCTCTGAAATGCTAGTGAGCTCTTTTCATTATTATTATTATTACTGTTTTCAAATCTGGCCAGAAAGGTCTAGCTGTTTACCAGAGCAAAGTCAGGAAATATATGTTTTTGGCAAACATAGGTTTTAACACAGGTTTTAATTCATGACCCCATGTTAAGATTTTTCATGGAATCCCTGTCCCATGCTGCACGCAAAGAGGACCTCCAGGCTGTGCCACATATGTGCTGTCCCCTCTTCCTCATCTTGAAATGCTTCATATCTGGCATTGAGTTCTGTAGGGGATGAAGGCCCTGCAGTGAACACCCCAGGGTGTTCTTCCCTGCACCCAAGGAGGCCAGGAAGCATGGTTCCTCCCATGGATCAGATGCAGTTATGACTCAAGATGTGTTTCGAAGATGAGTTTTGACATATTCTGGCTGGAAATAGGACAGGCATTGCCAGGACATTGATTTTTCCCCTGTTCATATAATTAGGTTGACATGCATCCCTCATCCCAGAAAAGCAGCAGAGATGCATCACTGGCTACGTCATCAACTTCCAGGGGATACACCTTTAAAATAGACCTGCCACCCACCACTGTTGTCCCGAGCATCCAGCACAGGGGATTCAGAGTACATCACTACATCCCTGTGCCATGGTCTGGATCCAGCAACAGGGACACTCGCAAAGCTCCTAAAATCAGGCATGGCTGCCGTCAGACGGGTGCTGCTGTTCCCTCTGGTTTTACAGCCAGGCCATGACAAAGCAGAGCCTGCAAGAGGCAGACTGCAGTGTCCCAGGCAGAGAAAGCCCCATCATGGTGCAGGTGCCCCCCAGATGTGAACAGGGGGCCAGCGTTTGCCTGCACCCGGCTGATGGCTGTATCCTGTCCAGGGTGTCTGGCAAGGAGAAGCCTGGAGACAGTGCCTGGGCAGGAGCTTCTGGAAGTGGGCACTGTGGAGACAGGAGTGATGTGCACCCCAGGGGACCTCCGGGGGGTGTCCCTTCAGCATTGCACCCCACTAAGTCGCTCCACCAGCCAGGCAGAGATGCACTTGCACCACAGGCACCTCGCTGGGGGCTCAGGGACCCCACCGTGCTGCAGCTGCTCAGGCAGGGCCCAGCTGTGTCTCGGGGGCTGCCTCCCCCCCTCCCCATGCCCTTCCAGCAGCACATTCCCCCCGCCAGAGGCTGTAGGACTCTCCTGGACTGGATGGAGAAGCAGCACTGGAGCATGGGGATGCCTGCACACGTGTTTCCCGGTGTGTGTGCACATGTGTGTACATGAGACCCCATGTGTGTCCATACATGTGTGTCCATGTGTCCCCCCATGCCCCTTGTCCCTGTGTCCCCCCATGTTCTGTCCCCTATGTCCCATGTCTCCCCGTGTCCCCATGCCCCCTATTCCCGTGCCTGTGTCTCCCCAAGCCCCCTGTCCCCACTTCCCCATGTCCTGCTGTGTCCCCATGCCCCCTGTCCCCCCCACCTCCCCTCTCCCTGTGTGTCCCCATATCTTACGTCCCATGTCCTGTGTCTGCCCGTGTCCCATGACCCCTCCATGTCCCATGTCCTGCCATGTCCCCATGACCCCTGTGCCCGTGTCCCCTATGACACCTGCCCCCGCGCCTCCCATCTCCCATGCCCACCCGGGCCTGTGTCCCGTGTCCCCCCACGTCTCACGCCTCCTGTCCCCTCGTCCTCCCGAGCACCCCCGTCGCCGCCATGTCTCGCCCCCGCCGGCCG